CACAGTGGACCAAAGTCATGAACAGCGGACCACAGTGGACCACAGTCGTGAACAGTGGACCACAGTGGACCACAGTCATGGAGTCCACATGAGTCCACAGTGGTCGACAACAGTCCACATGAGTCCACAGTGATGAACAGTGGTCCACAGGGGTGCACGTGCCTGGTGGCTCTGTGATGAAGTTTCTTTTCTAAAGCCCAACCTCTCAAGCTGGTTCTGCCATCTGAGCGGCCACAGCTTTCCATGCTGTGTTCACACAATTCATCCCACTCACAGAGAGGGATGTGTGTCTGTGTCTCTGTGTGTGTGAGACATTTCTGGGACAGGGAGTTCATGATGTGAATGGCAGCATGAAGAAGTCTGTAGGACGCTCAACTTTCTCTTTAGGCACGTTTTTCTTTGATATTCTGGAAACTAAAATCTGAATAATAACTCCCACTTTATCACTTAAAATGTGTGAAAAACAAAATGTGAAGGCTTTAAATGACTGTTCAAAACTCCAGATAATGTTTTTACAGACACAAGCTTCACTAGCAGAAAATAGAAAGTGTCAGTTTTAAAGAGAGGAGAGGATTTACTGGAACTCCTGAGGGTGATCAATAAATTGGACTGGATTAATAAGTGAGCCATTTACTTCTGCTGGACAAGAATGAAGTGATTCACCAGATAAAATGACTCCTGCTTCAGCTTTGACAGAGTTGTGACTGCCATCAGTCCGCTGTTAATTAAAATTTTATTTAAAAGATTTTTATTCACTCAACATTTCCTCCGTCTGTTCAGTTCCTTCTGGTGTTCGAAAGATTTACAAATCTGATGTTTAGCTGTGATCATCACACCGGTCAGGGGTGTCCTGACCTCTAGAACAGGACACACTCCAGACTCAGGTGCTTTGTTGGAAGATGAAGACGGTCATTTAGAATAAGAGTTTCCAGTTGATTGACGGTAACTCTTCGTCCCAAAGGGCAAACAGACAGGCCTCCACAAACAGACCTGCAGAGACGCTGGACAAAGAGCGGGTCCAGTCTTAGGTTTGGACCTGCAGTGAAGAAGTTCTGGAGAATAGTCACAGTCTCACTACAGGATGAGTTTTTGTTTTGCCGCCACACTAACACACAGGAGCTGTCAAAGTTAGTTAAGGTTTAAATCTAATTGGTTAATTGTATAAAACCACAGCTGTGTTTAAATATCTGAGAGACAAATGTAGTTTTTAAATCTGGAGGCAAGTTGATGATCAGGCACGGCCCAAGTTTAACTGCTGCAGATATTTGTTTGTTCTTCATTTGTTCCCTTTTTGATTTACTTAACGTACGGTACTTTAAAAAGTTCCAATTTTAAAATGTGCAAAACCTAAAAAAAATTAAATTAAATTTAGTAAATTAAAAATGTCTTCTTTTTTTCCCCTCAGACCTTTGATGATCGTCACCCAGAAGATAACCATGTTGGCCTTCCAGCTTCATGATGGTGAGACACACACACACGCACGCACGCATGCACACACACACACACACGCATTTTAATGAAAGCAGCAACATGTTTTTAATCACTGCTGTAACAGGAGACGTTCAGGTCTTACTGATGAAGTTCAATTGGTACACACCATGGAGTTCAATCAGACA